TAATTTCTTTTTGGTCTTTTAATATTTCTGTTTCGTACATTTTATGATGATCAAGAATTAATTCTAATTTGAGTAATTCAAACCTAAATCTATCAAATAATTTGTTTCTAAAAAGAATTTCTTCGATTTGTAAAGGCGTGAACTTAAAGACTTGGGCGAGAACTTTGGGTAAAAGCATGGCATTAATATGTTTGGACGTAAAACGAAGATGGTTTGGAAGTTTTGCATTATTTCCATTTTGATTGGCGTGCTTATTGATAAAGATTATTTCGTTAAAGTGTACAACCGCATTGAACGCCTCATGATCACAACAAGGTTTACGATTAGATAATTCTTTAAGAAGTTCAGAGGTGGTTTGTTTATCAATTTCTTTGCTTGGTATTAACTTGTTATCGAGATTCCCCAAAGTTTCTCTTTTTTCTAGGATTGACGCGAAATTCTCAAGTTCTTTGCCTGGTATTGACTTGTTATCGAGATTCCCCAAAGTTTCGAAATTCTCAAGTTTGATATTTTCAATCATTTCAAAAATTTATAAATAGTCTATTTTGTTTTTATAAATTTTTTTTCTTTCACCGTCGGTACATATATGTACATTTTTATGACTATTGTTCTTTTTTAACATGATTTAAAATTTTCTAATTGATACAGTAGCTTTGTTTAAAATCCTAATTTCAATTACATAAGAACTTTTGTTGTATTGTCTTTTGTTTTTTCGTTTCAAGTACGTGTGCGTACGCACATTGCTTTTTTAAGATTTTGATGAGTTAAGAACAAAATATCGACATATTGCATACGCATGCATACATACGTACGTAATTATTAAAAACCGTTTTGCTAGCGCTAGTGTTAATATGTGTTTGTTTCCATTTTCAAATATTTATTCCCATTATTAGATATGAATTAACTTTGTCTTCGAGGTCACGTAAACTCAATAGTTTGGAACCGCATAAAATATAGTCTATTTCCGTTTAATCCTAGCCATCTTATTATAATCACAATAATTCTTATTGCGTATTTAGATTTCAACTTCTTATAATATTAATAGCACATACAATATTTATGGTAATATTTCGGCAGAATTGTGGAATCAGTTCTTTAATTTAGGACTCTGAAAATACAAAGCTTCCCTGCAATACTTTAGATTTACAATATTTAAAATAGTTCAAGAGC